TCATCCAAAATACACAACTTCTGAATGCATTACACTGCCTTCTTCAAATACCTGAACCAGTAAACGTTCTCTCCCAAATTCCATGCCCCTTTTTTCAGCTGTTTTTTCTGAACCAGCTCTTACCTGAAGTCAATGGCAAATCCCTCACTGACATCAGCTGGAGTTGGAACAGGGATTAAGCACTTTTATTGTAAGGTGACTGCTTCCTTCCTGTGCTGCCTAAGATTCTGGATGCCATCTTGGTACATGATTGAGCCAAATTCTCCATCTCCTGCCAGATGACATGACACAGATCCAACCCTCACTGCCAGCTCTCGTACAGACAGGACACAGAGATGCCCCTTTGGGCCTTCAAACCCTTTCTCAGATATCCCCCTCCAGCATACGTTTTCTCTTCTGCTCCCAGGAAAAGCGCTGGGTTTTTCTGAACAGGGTGCAAACAGACTCATGACCGGGTCCGGGGAGCAGCTCCACTGACTCAAGTGGAGTAGAGAGAGGCCAGTGTCAAACCCGCCTGAAAACCTCTTGAAAACCTCACTCTGAATCTGCAGTATGAGACCAATTATTAACCTTTTTGCTAAAAAGCCTCAGTTAAATAAAGATTTTAAAAAACTAATAAATCCTGATCAGTTTTTACAGAAGTACCACATCACTTTGTAACTAACTATAACTCAATCTACTTCTGAGAAAGCACTGCAAGAAAACAGAATACGGAGACAAAGGAAATATTACCTGAACGCGCACGTCTGCCAAATCCTGTCTGTCTTCTCTCCTTTTCAGATGATGATTTCGAAATCTGAATGGAGAAGAATTAGTACTGCAGTGAACTTCAGTTTCTCAAATGAAACCATAAATACACCATTGGCACAGGCTCATAGGAATAGAACAAAGATGTATCAGCTCTAAAGTAAAGAGATTTCTGAAATGACTGCTCTGTAACTCCCAGTTTGCATTCTACTCAATTACGTCAAGGTCCAAACGGACACCAAGTCCCGCAGGGCGCTCCATTCCCATGAACGTTTCTACCACAATGTCACCTTTGAAGAGATGTTTGTGGGAAAGACATGTTCCTGTCAAAATTGAAATCAAATTGGAAAAAAACATTTTTGAGAGGTGAAAAACGCCTGATTCGCTTGCACAAGACTGTCTCTCTGCCTAACCATTGCAAACATACAATACCTGAAAAACCTTTGTGAAAATATCACCAAGAGGGCAGTAAAGTCATTGTTCTCTCTGCAACTACTTGAAACAGACATGGGAGGCCAAAGTACAACTCTGTCAGGGCTCCTGAAAAGATTGTCCTCTGTGTGTCTTAATTTCTCCTTTATAAAGCACAAAAGACAGCGTCTCTGCCTCTTCACAGGCACCTGGAAATTTATGTCCAACTATTCTCATCTGTGGAGTTATTTAGAGGTTCAGAGACGTTCAGGAAGGGACATGCAGAGGGCCAGTGCGTGCCGGGAAAGTAGGGACCTGCTCTGGAAATTCTCAGTCCAGCAACTTTGCTGGACAGCGATGACTACTTTTTGGGCTAGAACATGGCTGCCTGGAGCAAATCCAGGGGAAGATGATAGAAGCTGCTCACTGCCCGTTCTCCCCTAGGATATGTCCTTCCTGGAACATAAACATTTGGTCATTTCCACCTTCCTTTCCCTGGACTGGCCCTTTGCACATACGCCTCAGGGTGATTTGCCTTTTTTTTTTTTTTAAATACTTATTTCCACAGGATTTAAAGTCAGCTTTATTTTCCAGTACTAACTGACTGGGCTCCTATGCAGGAGACGCTGAGGCTTCAGAGGAGAGAAGGCACGCGCTCGTTTCTGTTCCCTGGGCCGATACACTTCTGCCCGCAAATCAAGCAGCCTGCAGCAGCTGGAAAGAGACAAGCCCGAGCGCTCCAGCTACACCAAGGCCCTAGTTCAGGAGTGCACATAGGGCTGCTCTGCCCTCACAGGGAGCTCCATGTACTCAGCGGGACTGCAGACAGGACCTCTTCCTCTCCCTAGGCATTAAATGTAGTCGTTACCCTTAGACGTTACCAGGTTTCTAGAAGGGAGCCTAAAGGACTTTTTCCTGCTCCTGCTCTCTTCAGGAGTTGCTGCCTGACAGCTCTCTCTACCACTTTTTCCTACAGGGCCACTAGCCCTGCCTGTTGTTCTCTCCCTTAGTCTTCTCTCAGCAGATGAACTCCTCTGAGGGAAGAGAGGAAAGGCTCTCTTTCTAACCCATGGCAATAATGCTTACAGGCTAGAGATCACAGTCCCAAAGAGCTCTCAGACATCACCCGCACAGTAGCAAACAAGAACTGGAAGTCATTACTTACATGAAAGGGTCTATTGAATTGCATAAAACACAGTAAGAAGAGATACCCTAAGGAATGTCTTTCCTGAACCTCCGAACTTGCAGTACTTGGGCCCAGAGGTTAACAAACCCCTGGTACTTTTTGCCCAAGTAGGCTGAAGAAGCCCCTGCAGAAGCTGGGGCCCAAGTTGCCTATCCAGCTCTCCTGGCTCATTCTTCTGGGGCAGGTCCTCTACCACAACACACAGAGCTATCGGTGGCACTAGCACAATTGCATAACAAGACACTGAAAGCAGAACAAATTCAGGGCACCAACTTTATTGGCAGCTGGCAGCACTGGTGCCCAGTGGTTGGACCTGGAACCTGGTAGGACTCCCACTCTGTTCCTCATTCACAGGACATGTCACGTGCTCTTCCTCTACATCTGCTGTCCTATACATCCAGCTGGTGCTATTATACTAATACTTCACTGGGTGGAGTAAGAATTAGTCAGTGTTTCTTATACTCAGCTGTTAACTTGCAACGCTCGCACTATGTTAATCAGTATTATTATTCCCTCCTACCCTACGCCATCAGTAGTACCTCATGACAGGCCTTTTGCCTGGGCCTACGGTCATTGGATGAAATTCAAAAGCCCTTTCTTCCCTTTCCTGTTCTACAGCAAGCAAGATGACTTCAGTAGAAATGTCACCAGAACTACAGCACTCAGTATTTAGTGTACAGTATTTATACACCAAGATAGTAATAAGCCAAACACCTGAAGGGAACACCTATATTTTTTTTCCATCCTTGTCCCACGGAAACAGCCCTTGTTCAACACTGGCTAATCTGACATTCACCTATTACGGTACTCCTGAACCTGCAGTTACTATCGATACACTGAGTCTTTTTCTTCTATAGATCATTACCCTCCCTTGGCTCTCATACCTTCCATCTTATCTAAGGTCTCCTGATTCAGCTTTTCCTTTTTCTTCTCAGCAATACTCTCATGAAGCTTCCCTGACCTATTCGTTCGCCTGACATGCCCTTCTTAAGCAGCCTCATATAATCACCAGTTCTAACCTCTGTCTTCACACTGAGATGCACTTTCCTCCATCCCTCCTCTCCTAGTCAGTCCCTATATTAGCAATTTTCTCCAGCATCTTGGGCCTTAACGTGGTCAGTGCTAAATTTCTGGTTTTTCTCCACATCATCCTATTTATTCCCATTATTATTCATTCTGCTACCGTTTTCCTTTTCACTTCCCATTCACTCAACTTTGTAAAAAAAAAAAAAAAAAAAAAAAAGGCACTTTTTCTGTAGTGATACTTTTAAATTCCTTCTTTCCTTCCTCCCTAAAAGGATTGATCCTTCGCTGATATGTCATCACTACTGTTTCTCCCTCTTTTGGCCTCCCCCATACGCATTGCTCCCCAGCATGCCTTGAGAACAGAGCTGCTGAAATTTTCTTGCTTTGTTCAGAAATTTCCATTCTCCTCTTGTTTGACCTCATATTCAAGCAGCTTGTGCAGACTTGCCAAACATTACATTTCTCAGTCCCCACTTGCTTACCCCAGAGTCTCTTTAGTTATATAATCCCTCACTTCTGCATCACCAGCGAGGCCTATCCTGGTCACTAGGACACATAGGTCACACAGATGCAGTCCTGATGCGGAGCGGAGAAGGCATCTGCACAGCTGCATGCTATGCCATGCCACACACCATGCGTAGCTACACCACAAGGCGCCCCATGCAGTTACCTAAGCCCTATGAGCAGCCAGTAAACCTGCACCAGACTAATTTATCAGCCCCTCACAAACATCTTTGCTCCCTTTTTCCCCTAGATTGCCCTTCCTCACTGACCTTCATGAAAGGCCAAAACTTTCTCCTGCTGTGGACTCCTACTGTTAACGTTAGTAGGAAATCAACCAGTTAACATTGGTTCAAGAGACAGCTAAGGACAATTAACCCCATTCTATTTACAGTAATACAAATACACATCTCCAGCTGTATCCTCTTCCTTCCATTCGCCTTCCCTGCCAGGAACAGTTCCTGCTAACACCTGCAAAACACACATACTTTGCGGCCTAACCTTGTGCAGGGCCTCAGGCAGCGCAGTCATATTTAATAATGATCTTGCCCAACATGAGCCTGTCATACTAGCGATGAGACAATAGTTTCACAGTACAAAATCGGTCGCTGTAATGATGATGGTGAGGTTGCACAATAACCAGACAAAAGATAGAGCTGAATTGCCACTGGCTGCACTGTTGCAGGTTCTGACTTAATGACATAGGAAGGTTTTTCACAGCTGGTCCGAAGTGTACCCTTCCCCGCCCTGATCATTTTGACAATTCATAGAAAAAAATTATGTTAACTTCTCCATGAAGGTAAGTCTTTCAGTCTCAAATTTGAATGATTTGAATAGTGTGTTTTCTGGATGAACATTTTTAATTTTTCAATACAAAGAAATATGTGAGGAAAGATGATATTTATGCTCCTCCCTCCTGTCTTCCTCATCAGGAAGTATAACAACTCACTGCACCTTAATCTAGTCTACAAAGAAGCCAGAACATGAGCGCTGCCAATTTTCCTCCAAATAAAATCTGAGAGTGTGAGAAGTAGAAATTGCAGAAGCAGGCATTGACAAATACATTGCACTGAAAGTCACTTACAGCTGAGGTTTATTTTGTGCTATTTTTGGCAGGTGAACTGCAGAGATGGCTAGTGAGAAGGGACGTACAGAAATTCCTATGATTATGTATGAGCCGTCCCAAGAAGCCTCTGCACCAGAATACTGCGGGCAACAGGGTAAGCAGGTTTCATTAGAAATAATCTGGAAAGACCATGCCCTTGGTGGGTTATGTGACAAACGCTGCTGGTTTCTAGAGCAGAACTGAGCTAGGTCCGAGAGGGTCCAGCTTCGCCAGAACATGACGGGTTTATCAAATGCCTGCGACAATCTACAGAACTCTGGAAACATCAACTAAAACGGCAAAAAGTATTTCTGTTGGTGTAGTTAAAACCACTTTCCTAACAACGTGAGCTTTACTGATAAAGGAGTTGCAGCTGCATCTCTCTGATAGTTTCATATTCCTAATGAGCAAACGTTCAGCTAGAAAACTTCATACATGGACCTGCTGTCTATGTCTTGCTTAAATCGTAATCTAGTTTTCCAGATGACTGGCTTTCCCCCAAAACCTCCTGCTGCCCAGAGTTGCCCTACCTATGTGAAACGGTTATGCAGCTGGGCTCCATATGGCAGAACAATCCTTTGCCAGTGCTGTCTCCTAGAGGAGTATTGTTATTGAAGCACTGCCAATTCAGCTCAGTGACCGTAAGCCAACAGCTGCTTTCTGCTAGGTTGACTTTTTCCCTCAGCAATGGGGCATTGCCCAAGTATCTCGTTGCACTTGTCTTCCACCTCTTGGAGCCCTCAGCCATGCAAGGACACACTCAGATACCAGTGGTTTTACCTGGGCCACCTTCCTGCTATTGCGGAAACTGCCATTCACTAGATAGGACTGGAGGACCCCTTATGAGGCTAGATGTGTCAATAACGGCCCTCTGAACTTGACTCATTTTCAGAGCGTTTTACTCTGATCAGCTCTCAGTGCACACATTCATGTTTTCCAAAGACCTCTCCAGCTTCTTTGTAAACTCTCTGAAGAACCTGCATGAGGTTAGGAAGAAAGAGTCTCGCTTGCTGTGAGCTACTCAACCAACCAAGAGACAGGCTTTGAGTTGCTACGTCTTGTCCTGTCCTTGCACAGGAGAGCAAACAGGAAGCAGGCACTTCACAAAAACATACCAAATGATAACTCCATTACACTAGGTACTTCTGGTAAGCCATTCAAGGAAACATCCTCAACATTTTTTTCAACTTTGCTGTTTCATTTTGTCTCACTCTGAAAAATTCCATTTTTTTTTCAATCACAGTGCCTTACAGGCTTATTCCCTGGTTGTTTCTAAAAGGCTCAACAGCACAGGCTGGACTCAGAGCAGCTGTGCTTGGGAGCAAGGGCTTATTTGACACTGTGCCACTGTGCCCAGACAAGACTTCTTGGAGGGGCTGTCCTACTGCTGCAGATGGGTCTGGTACTTCAATCCCACATCTGTGCTAACTGGCTGTATAGTTGTATACATTAATTTATTTCACTTCATGCTCAGGCACGTAAGATAAGAACTAAAAAAAACCATGAAGTGTCTTAGTTGCCATCTTCCCTTCTTCCTTGCCCACAACAAAAGGGAAGAAGATCTTCAATGTTTTCTAGCACAAAGGGTATGAGAAGATTCCTTGGCTGGAAGTTGAAGCTGAATAAAATTCAGACTAGAAATAAGGCTCAAAGTATTAATAGTAAGGGCAATAATCACTGAAACAACCTAGTTAGAGGTACTGTGACTCCTCTATGAACGGAGTCCTTAAATCAAGACCAAGTGTCTTTCCAGTGTTATGCTGAAACACAGACAGTTGCTGCCTTGGTGCTGAAACAAAGAATCTGATTTCCTGGCTTATGTTAAACAGCAAGTGAGACTTCTGGCTTTAAAAATCCGTGAAGCAAATCAGGAGTGCTTGCTGCCTGACCTCTGCTTCACAGGCACGCCAGGCCTCTCCCGTGCGGCATTCCCCCCATGCAGCTGCTCTTCAGACTCCAAATAGGGCTTTCAGGATGCATGAGGTGTACTTTTTTTTTTTTTTTTTTTTTTTTACATTTTACTCTGCTTTTCTTTTTATAGGGGGCTATGAATATCCTTCTCCCCCACCTTACTGCTATCGAGAAACAGTCAACCTTGAGCAACCAGGTAAGGGCCAAGGGGCTGTGTTTCTGACAATGTCCATAGTTCAACATATTAAAAGGAAAATGTACAATGTTTTAAAATGTACAAAGAAAATGGAGTATTTTGACCCAGTCACAACCTAGGAAGATGGAAAATTTCCCTAGAAATATGGGGGGGGGAGGGGGAACTAAGGAGAGACTCATTTTTCCAAAATTAGCCAAGCTACAGAAGCAACTTTTCTTTTTTAAATCAGCTAAGAACAAAGACTTTCAGAACAACTGATTTTAAGTCTAGTTTACTATATTCTTCTTCTCCTAGTCACCTTTTTGTAAGCAGAGAAGCCCAAAGGAGACACTGAATAAAGCTTCAAAGAACAGTCAAATAACATCTCTTATGGGAGGGAAGGAAATGCATAGATTAAAAAAAAAAAGAAAAAAGAAAAAAGAAAAAAAGACCAGGATATCGATATCCTATCTATCTAACGGGCACTACCTTTCCACTCCTGCAGTTTTGTTTCAGGCTATATTTGAATGCACCCTAAACTTGCTTTAGGATGCTTAAAATAGTATTTTCCACTGACCACATGTCTGCAAAAAAACCTTCATGTACCTACAAGGGGTATTCACTACACTCCTCCGAGAGTACGACAGAGTGAAGTTCAGAATTCAAAAACATCAGGGAAGTTGCAGAATTTCCTAATTGGGGACAGCACTGGCATGACATTTTTAGGTTCAAATAGCTTATTTGATGGATTTCTTGTAGTTACTGGACAGCTGATCCAGAAAGCCCCGTATGAACCTACATTCTACAGTTAAGGATTGCACAGCCATTTATAACTCATAAAAGATTTCCAGTGCTTCTAATTTCGCTGCTTCTTGTTTCCTCTTGAACTCAGTTTACCTGGTGTCTCAGCCTCCAATCGTTGTAGCAGGAATCTTCTCAAGCAAACCAACATCCACAATATGCCCTTCCTGCCGCCAGCACATTACCACACAGGTCACCTACAGAGTGGGCAGACTGTCTTATCTTCTGTGCACCAGCTTGTGTATGGTTGGGTAAGCCCTTACGCACGCTTCCAAAATTCCTCATAGCAAAAGGTTAAAAAAAAGACAGATCCATCCAAAAACAAAGACAGCTTCTTCTCTCATTGCTAAGAAGTCAGTCTGTTCATACTAGATGTAGTCATCACAGCTATAGAGGATGTGAACTGGTGCTAAATATAATCAGTACGTTATTGTTTTTCATTAGACAAGCAAAAGGAAATTGCAAAACACTGCAAACTTCCCTACCACAATTTAGAATCAGTCCCAGAATCAGACTAACGCATCAAATGTTAGAAGTGAAGTGAAGACAATTAATCACGGGGAAGATACTTAATATTAAGAGACTCAGAAGGGAAGTAGATTCACGGATGGCTCAGTGGATAAGGCACAGACAATAAGGTAGAGAGAAAGAATAGATGCAATCAGTAGAAAGAAAAGTTAGTGAATCATTCATGCCTGTCCATGTCCTCTTTGGCTACAGGTGTTGTTTCGGATGCTGCTTCGTACCTCTCTTCATGAGAATCTTCAAGGATGCAGACCATTACTGCCCATGCTGCCAATTTCACATTTACAGATACAAAAGACTGTAAGACCAAAGTTTATGCCATATGATGCCAATCCTGTCTGTTTCCTAATGGTGCAAGATTTCACAGGTAAAACTACTGCTAGGAAACATATAGTAGTAGGCTTAAATCCTGCAATTTCCTCACTGACTAATCCATCTGAAGTTTATCATCATGTGGTTGGACTAACTTTAAAAAAAGAAAGCCTCAAGACTAGTTTATATTGTCATTTGAATTTATACTCTGCTTGGATACTTTTCTTGCGCTATGAAGTAACATGAAGTGACCAGCTAGTGAGTACTTTGGTGCTCTTATAGCTCCGTTCAAATCTCTAATCCAGCTGGGACACAATCTCTTCTGGACTTTTCAAGACATCCTTAAGTGAGAGGTTTGGAAATGCATGTTTTGGATAAGCGCTTACTTTTTATGCGCTAAAACCGACTGGCCAGGATTTTGCTTCTCTCTGCTCTTCTTTGTCTGGGACCTACCCCTGCAGGGCCGTGGGTGGCACAGCATAGCTGATTATTTATTAATCGAACACTAAGTTATGCAATTGTCATGTCTGTTATGTACAACATAAGGAAATAAACCTTTCATTGTTACCAATTCTAGCAAAACATCTCGTTGTCATTGCTTCTATGACATGCTGCACTCAGAGCTGAGATCCAGGCAGACTGCAGCACTCCATTTACATCAACAAGCCAAGAACAAAAAGAGCAAACGTACAAAGAAGAAAAAAAGAAAAAAAAAAGCTTTTTTTTTTTTTTTCCCCAGAAAAGGGCCTCACTTTACCTCTGCCTTCTCGCTGAAGCGCATCATCTCCCAAACAAAGATTTGGTAGGCTTTACACATTGATTCATCGCAGTTCTCCACTGGTCACTTATCTTGTAAATTCAAATCTTCATACTGCACAGACGTTGCTCAACGCTGACAGCAGCAACTACTGTTTATTGTTGGCTGAAGAGGTGAATAGAAGAGCAGAATAAAACTCGCCATTTCGGTGTTTTAGCAACATAATTATTCTCATGTTGGTGAATTGCTAGGAGTGAGCGGGATGTGCATTATGCAGCACCAGGTTGCCCCCCTCCATCTTCCGTTATTTTACTATCATAACTGAGGGAAACCTGCCTGCGCCGGTCCTGAACAACCTGTAGATACCACATAGTTAAAAGAACTTCAAGACTTCCCATTTAGTCTGACGTTAAGCGCAATCAAATCGTTTGTTTTAGCTATTTGGTCAATTTAAGCCACTAAAAAAAAAAAGTTCCTTGACACAGCGATCACTAACGGTTATACGAAGCGCTCCGCTCCGTCTCCTCAAGATCCCTTTAACGTCAGGATGAACAACCTGTAGATACCACATAGTTAAAAGAACTTCAAGACTTCCCATTTAGTCTGACGTTAAGCGCAATCAAATCGTTTGTTTTAGCTATTTGGTCAATTTAAGCCACTAAAAAAAAAAAGTTCCTTGACACAGCGATCACTAACGGTTATACGAAGCGCTCCGCTCCGTCTCCTCAAGATCCCTTTAACGTCAGGACTTGCTGGAAGAGAAGCCTGCAGGTTCCGCACGCG